AAGGAGCGGTTGGGAGCTTCAGTCACCCGCTTCCAGAAAACAGCCCTCAGCCCCTCACCCAGACTGGCCAGGCACCTCAGTGGGGACCCCCACCCTGATCCAGGAGACCCTTCAGGGCAAACCAGGCAGCCCCTACCCGTGCACCAGGCCTCTATCCTATATAGTAAAAGGGTAATATGACTCCCGGCACCAGGATCAGTGGAGCAGCGAGGCTCCCGGCACCGGGATCAGCATGACAGGGGGCAACGCCCAAACCCCCTGATCAGCCCTGCTCTGTGCCTGATAGGGGGGAGCTCCCCAATCCCCTGATCGCCCTGCGGCTCTGTGTGTGACAGGGGGTGGGGCCACAACCTCTCTATCCGCCCTGCTCTGTTCATGACAGGGGAAGGCGCCCCAACCCCCTGATCAGCCCTGCTCTGTGCTCTGTGCCTGATAGGGGGAGCTCCCCAATCCCCTGATTGCCCTGCGGCTCTATGTGTGACAGGGGGGAGCTCCCCAACCCCCTGATTGGCCCTGCTCTGTGAGTGACAGGGGGCAGCGCCCCAACCCCCTGATCGGCCCTGCTCTGTGCGTGACAGGGGGCGGTGCCCCAACCCCCCAATCGGCCCTACCCTGAGTGTGACTGAGGGTGGCATCGCAACCTCCCGATCTGCCCTGCTCTGTGCATGACGGGGCGGCGCCCCAACTCCCCAATCGGCCCTGCTCTGAGCCTGACCAGGGGCTGCACCTAGGGATTGTGCCTGCCCTCTGCCACCTGGGAGCAGGGCCTAAGCCAGCAGGTCGTTATCTCCCAAGGGGTCCCAGACTGCAAGAGGGCACAGGCTGGGCTGGGGACCCCCCCCCCCCCGAGTGCACAAATTTTTGTGCACGGGCCTCTAGTCTATACTAATAAAAGGGCAATATGCTAATTAGACCAGGTCAGCCGGCCATCTTCCAGATATCTGACTTCCTTCTGGACAAAGCCATGGTGGTGGGGGCCAAGGCAGAGGCAGTTAGGGGTGAGATCAGGCTGGCAGGAGCTTAGGGGTGATCAGGCCAGCAGGGGAAGGCCATTGGGGGCATTAGGCAGGCAGGCAGGTGAGTGGTTAGGAGTCAGTGGTCCTGGATTTCGAGAGGGATGTCTGACTGCCAGTTTAGGCCAGATTCTGCAGGGATTGGGCCTAAACCAGCAGTCAGGCATCCCCTGAGGAGTCCCAGATTAGAGAGGGTGCAGGCCGTGCTGAGGGACACCCCCCCCGCCCCCGTGCACGAATTTTGTGCACCAGGCCTCTAGTATATAGATAAATGTTTATGAAGATTGAGATGTCCCAATGCTCATTAACTGTCAATTCGTGACATCCCTTTTGTGAAGAGATTTTTATAACACATTTAAATGAATCTCTTCTAAACAGAGAATAGGGGATGAGGATTGGGAAGCCTAGTCTTTTCTTCATATCCCTTCCTGTCCTTAGCTCATCTCCTTTTAGCATAGGGTTTGGGGAATATCATTTAAAAATGCCCAAGGAAATTAGGTATTAATTGCCTAGCACAGGATCTGACATGCTGTGAGTTCTTTACAAGCACCATCACGATGGTGTAGTAATTATAGTATGAAGAATGATTCTATGGTACTCATTGTCCTGGACTTCTGTATAAGTCATGTACTTTGAACAGCACATTTTTACCAAGGCCTTGCCCGGCTGTCAACCTGGATTATGCATATCAAGTGCCAAGGGTACCATGACAAGGGAAATACTATTGGTGTTTGTCCAACAGTTGGGCAAAGATATTGTTGAAGAAAATCTCACAGGGGTAAACCAATCACTAAAGCATGTTTTTAAAACTTTTAAACCACAGCTCTCTTTTTTCAAGTCAAATCTTAAGCAGAACTGAAATAAATAAAAGAAGCAAGCAGACCTGCCTCAATTCTAACCTCTACCCTCTTTTTATCTTCATGGGCTCTCAGAGGCAGCCCCCATGGGGAACATATTGAAGCATTGCCTGACATTTTGGTCTACCTTTGGTTCTTCCAACTGAAGTTCTGGGTCCATAATTAATGAAAACTGAGAGTTGTGTACTGCTTACCGAGTCCTGTGAAAGTTAGCTCACCCCGGAGATCATTTTAATCTAATTGAAAATAATTACCCAAAAGTCCACAATATATACATATTGAGATATTTCTGAGTCATTTAATTTCAAGACTGTCCCTGGGCTTAGGAAAGAGTATTGTTACTTTCTTTACAAATCTGAGAAATAAATTCAGACACACACACCAATTGCCTGTAAATTATCATTCACTATAGTAACAGAACGTAATCACTAATGCCCAAACCCTTCACTTTATAAACTCAGAGAAGTGAAATGACTTGCTAAAACTCACCATGTAATGATTGAAGGATAGGGAATGGAAACTGCATGTCTTGAAACTCTCTCTAGGTCTCATTTTTTTATGTGGAACATGCTTTTACTCATGATCAGAAAGCATAGCCCAGAAGATCTGGAGTTATGAGAAATGAAGGGCTCAGATGTGATCACAAAAGGCAACATAGGAGTCTAAGTATTTATATAGATGAGGTGTGGGAAGCAGTCATATAAACAAATGTTTGTCTAATCAATATCAGGAAGCATCTAAGTGTAGATAAATATGTAGATGTTTATAGGATCTAGGAGAGTTCTGGAAGGCTGAGGCCTATTCTCTCATGCTAAACTTGAAAGATGAGACCATACAAATATCTTCAGTTCCCAGGAATGTTTAGTGTCGTCTCAGGGTAATCGATTCTAATCTATATAATAAAAACCCAGTGACCATTATGGCGGAATGACCAGAACAACCAGTTGACCAGTTGACCAGTCGCTATGATGCACACTGACCCAGATGCTCAACACAGAAAGAGGGGGAGGGGGGCACAGTGAGGCCTGGAGGCACATGCTATGGCCCAGGGAACCCAGGAACTGTAAGCCCAGAGCTTGCTTTCCAATAAAAATAAATAAATTGGAAAAAAAAGCAGCCTACACAGCCTGCCTGAAGGGAAAGGCTGCCCCAGGCCCCGCCAGGCCCAGCTGGTGCACCACAGGCTCACGGGGACTCACCGGTGACCTGCAGGAAGCACAGCCCCCTGACTCTAAAGACTCTAAAGCCAGTCTCACTGACAGCTGCTCCCCCTCCATCTCCATGGCAGAGGCAGCGCTGCTAGACCTCCTCAACTCTGACTTCCAGCTTCTGGCTTCCTGCCCTCCCCTTCATATACTATGTGCGCTTGGGGGTGTGACTTCAGCCTTCCCAGCCAATAGCTCTGCAGCACAGCCAGAGAGTGGCAGGACACAGCCACCAGGGCTGGCTGGGCGTTGATTTGGCTGCTGACTGACGTCCATGTGCAGTTACACTGTGTGTTTACATTTGTAACGAAGCAGGGCTGCCCACTCCTGCCACCCGCCTCACCTTCTAGGCCAGCGGTTCCCAACCTGTGGGTTGCGACCCCTTTGGGGGTCGAGCGACCCTTTCACAGGGGTCGCCTAAATACATCCTGCATATCAGATACTTACATTACAATTTATAACAGTAGCAACATTACAGTTATGAAGTAGCAACGAAAATAATTTTATGGTTGGGGGTCACCACAACGTGAGGAACTGTATTAAAGGGTCGCGGCATTAGGAAGGTTGAGAACCACTGTATCTAGGCTAAGAAAGACCCACTGATCTCCGTGTTTCTCCAACCGTCTGGAATCAAAACCTCTTGGGGATGAATGATCCCAGCGATGGCCCCAACACACGCTCAGTATCACTGTCACAGACATACCCAGTCATTACAGCCCATTCCTCAGCCGCAGTGCCCTGCTCCATCCACTGCCACTCCTCATCCTGAGGACCACCTTATGTTATTCTATCTGAAATGTGAGCAAGATCTCAAATGACCCCCTGTCATAGCTCCCTTGCCCTACCTTTCTTCCTCTAAAAATACTGCATTTTAAAAATATATATTTGATTGATTTTTGAGAGGGAAATAGAAACATCAATGATAGAGAATCATTGATTGGCTGCCTCCTGCATGTTCCAAATTAGGGATCAAAACCTCCCCAGCCCCTTTCCCTATCCCTCCCCCGGCCAGCAGGACCTGGTGGCAGTGCAGCACCAAGGGAAGGGGGTGGCAGGTCGCCAAGGGCAGCATCGGCATCTGGCATCTGTTCCTTCCACACCCAGTCCAGCGACCATCACCTCCTCTCCCAACCCAGCCAGGGCCTTCAGGCCCCTATCGGCCTGGCCCTAATCAGCCCTGATTGCCCACAGGCCTAGGGACCCCATCCATGCAGGAATTTCATGCACCAGGCCTCTAGTATACTATAAATTGCTCACCAAATACTTAAAAAAGAGCTCAAAAGTCCTTTGTCTGCTCTGTGGTGTAGGTTGATCCAGAACTGGTGGTCACGACATAAAATCAGGCGGGGAATACAAGATGCTTCTATACCTCAGTGGGAAAATGATTGGAATCTGCAGCCCATGAATATTCACGGACTAATGGATGAATACTTAGAAATGGGTAAGGAGAGAACCTTCTGCAGAGCTATTTGACCTTCTGATACTAGTTTTCTATTTCATGCAGGCTTTGTTCAAGAGAGAAAGCCATCTCTCCTTTCTAACCCAGCATTCTAAAGGACATCTGCAACTTTATCTCGAGCTAGAGAAGATATGCAAGTAGTGCCTTTGGAAGTCTACCACATGTTGTCCTCGTAACATTTGCCAGCCATAATATTTAACAAAAATGAAGATTCATAGTAAATCACCTAGCTTTTGAGCACATAGTTTAAAGGAGCATTTACTTTTTTTCTGCCCTTCAGTTTTCTCATCTATACAGAGAGAGGGCAAGATTAGGTCTTTTGGGTCCCTTCTAGAGCTAAGCATTTTTCAAGGCCTCTTTGATTTCTGCTTCTTTTTTTTAAAAATATATTTTATTGATTTTTTACAGAGAGGAAGGGAGAGAGATAGAGAGTTAGAAACATCGATGAGAGAGAGAAACATTGATCAGCTGCCTCCTGCACACCCCCCACTGGGGATGTGCCCGCAACCCAGGTACATGCCCTTGACTGGAATCGAACCCGGGACCTTTCAGTCCGCAGGCCGACGCTCTATCCACTGAGCCAAACCGGTTTCGGCGATTTCTGCTTCTTTTGTCCTTACTCCTCCTTCGTGCTGCATGGTATAAAGGTGAAAAGAACATAGACTTCCAGTCTACTGAGATCTGAATTTTAATGCAGGTTTTAACATTTTTTAACTATCTACCCTTTAGAAAGTTTACTGAACGCATATGAGGTTTAGTTTTCTCAACTATAAAGTGGTGTAAACATATTTACCTTGTAGAGATGTTGAAAAGATTAAGGGCAATTTATGTAAATCACTTAATATTGCACAATGAAGAAATTCAATAAATGACACTGTTTATATTACTAATTTTCTAATGTTCTCCCTTTACAGTTTTGCAATTTGGTTTTACCACCATATTTGTTGCGGCTTTTCCTCTGGCCCCTCTTTTGGCTTTGTTAAACAACATCATTGAAATCAGGCTGGATGCATACAAATTTGTCACCCAGTGGCGGAGGCCTCTGCCAGCCAGAGCAACTGACATAGGTAAAGGCAAAACCCATAGTGAATACATATATTTCATACTTTACCTAATGATGTAGAACTTGAAGATTTTTGTTTATTAGTATTACTTCAGTAAGTTCTAATTAGGCTTTGAAGCAACTGTCATGCCTCATTATTATAGGCAAGATCCAATTCCTAATGATATTTTAATTTTAAATCTTTCAAGATGGGAGTCTACCTTCCCTCTGTGGCAAAGCATTCAATAGTTGTTTAATCTGCAGTGAAATACTATACCCAGAAATTAAATAATAGACTGAGCTCTGATTCCAACATAAATAAACACTCTTTTCAAAGGTTTTTATTTTTATTTTACTTTATTCACTCTCTTTAATCTTTCTCCTACTAGGTATCTGGTATGGAATTCTTGAAGGAATTGGTATACTGGCTGTGATCACCAATGCATTTGTAATTGCTATCACATCTGATTACATCCCACGTTTTGTCTATGAATACAAATATGGCCCCTGTGCAGGTCATTTTGAATATGGTGAAAAGTAAGATTGAAACTTACGCATTCTTCTAATATATTTTATGTTCGCAATTAAAGTGGGAACTTATTGGGAAGTTTTGTTCTGTGACCATTAAGGGCAATGTTTCTGATCATTGCAGTTATAATGTGTTTATTAGATGAAATCAAGTGGGATAAAAAGAACAACTCTTTCACAGCAAATAACTTTAACATCTCTGTGTTTTTCACTTGTAAATGTATCACACATCAAAATATTGTTTTAAAGTGTTAGAGTGTACTTAGAAGTCAAATTTAGAACTGGAAGAGACCTTAGAAATCATCCAGTGCAATGTTTGACTGTGTGGATGGGGAAATTGAGGCCCACTCTGGTTCAGGAAATTGCTGAAGGGAATAAAGCTAGTTGGTGGGGACATACAGAATCTGAAGGAACCGTCAGCTCTATGACTAGAGATTTTTCAAAAGTAATTTACAGAGAGCTGTCCTGTGTATCATAGGATGTTTAGCAGCAGCCTTGGCCCTAACCCAGTAGTTAACAGTAGCAACCTCCCTGCTCCCCAAGTTGTGACAATCAAAATGTGAACAGACATTGCTAGATGTTCCCTTGGGGACAAAGTCAGCCAGTTTAGAACCAGTGCTTCAGGGGCTATAGGGTGTTCAGCTCTTTCCTCCTTGAATGCAGGTATTAGGGAAAAATAAGAGACTGAGTTTTAGGAGGAGATTAGCCTTAGGTGTGGGAGTTGTGATAGGAGACAAAGTAGTGATAGGAGATGCTATTTCTTCTTCTGCCTTCAGGAGTGGTTTGAGGCGTGTGTCTTATCTAGTTGCAGGGCATGTGCCCCAATAGGCTGAGCCCTGATTTAGTGCAAAATCAGCCCTTATATCTGCTGATGACGTTTTCTCAGAACCCTGCAGTGCCTTACTGAACATAAACAGTTCAGTTTTTCAAAGAAAGGTAATAAAGGCATGAAATTTTATTTTATATTTCAGAGCCTTTTCAAGCCTTTTAACTTGAAGTCTAACACCCTAGGTTCAAGTTCTAACTTTACCTTTTATTCATCAATCTGGACCTATGATTAAGAAATGATGTCTGAGATAACATTTTATGTACTGTAAAGCACTATATAAATATAAAGTGGTTGTACTATTAATAGTGAAAAACCAAAAATATTGTTTTTTTATTATTAATTCAAAATGCTCTAGAAGCAGATTTTAAGGTTTTAAAATGTGTGGACAACATGTTTAACAGCTCTTAGAAGCATCATTTGCTGGTGTCTTTACTGCCACCTAGAGGCAAAAGAAAATGTGATTGGTTGGGAACTTTGAGGACCTGCCTTTCAGGTAGATAGCACCTGACCCTTTCTTCATCTTAACTGTTACGAAGGATGTAGAATAGTTTCAAGAGATGTGGAGAGCTTATGTGAAGTTGAAACTACATATACTTAGGGCCATCCTGTTGTTTACTTTTTCCCAGCTATGCTTAGCAGTTAAATTGGAGTAAATTCATTCAGATTGTAAATTTTCAGGACAAAGTGACAAAGGATAAAAGGGCAATGAAGAGGAAGATATTGGCCTGAAAAAAAGTAGAAATGATAAATTATGAGGTCTAGGATAGGTAAGGGAGTGAAGCCAGTGTGCCTTATAATTAAAAATTCCAGGTTTGGAATAAGATAGATGTGCATTTGAACCTGGGTTCTAACAACTGTTACCCTGGGACAGTGGTTCTCAATGTGGGCTCTGCAGATCTCTTTCAGGTTCCATGAGGCCAATACTATTATAATAATAATACTAAGACATAACTTCCTTTTCTCACTATATTAACATTTGCACTGGTGATGTAAGAGCAATGGGGATACATTTTTCTAACTCAAGGCAGTGGCACCAAGGAGTACTGGTAATGATTGTATTTCTCACGGCTATCTAATCACCATTTTAAAAGTGCCAGTGAGAAACTTTAGAAAGTCTTTGATGAAAACATAATAACCATTAATTTTATCAAATCTCTAATCTGGAATAAATATCTTTTTAATATTCTATATGACAAAATGCAAAATATGCATAAAGCACATCTGTTACATATCAAAGTGGGATTGTCACCTCAAAGAAAAACACCCTGTACTTGGAGCTGCAAACTCAACAATTTTTTTTTTTTAGTATGAAATAAGGATAGCCAAACTATGATTACTCAGACTTGGGTATTTAGCAGACACTCTTTTATAAAATGCACAAAATTGTCTTATCATTTTAAGGAAAATAATTGACTGTATTTGTTACCATTAATAAAGTTCAGACTTTGAAGTGAAAATTAGGATTTTGAATAACTTTTATCTACCACTGTGATCTTAAAAGCTTCCTAGAAGTCAGATTTTTTCTAATAAAAATCAATGGTAGTATTAATATTTGTGATGTTTCATAGATTATAGTAAGAGTATATCAACATTTGGGAGATCTATATAATTGAGGGAATAATATTTTCCAAATGACCCATATTGGATGTTACAATATCATTTATGGGTAAGAAATTAATTAAAAGTTTAAGATAGACCTATGGATTTTAATATAAATGACATATGGAAACTTTATTGATATGTTTAGATTCTACACTGTAACTAAATTATAAGAAATGACCAGATGTAGAATGTTGGTGTAATAACAAAGAGAAATATTGAAAATTATTTGAAATATGATTAAAATAGTCCTCCTTTTCCCAAACATTTATATTTTTGAAGACAGATTCTCTATTTACTCTTCAACTCACAAACCATACTGCAACAGATTAACTGCACAAACAAATATGAAAGTCTAGCTGTTCTATTAAGATAGGCATTAAAGAAATTTGCAAACATGTAAAACTATCTTTTTTTTCACTACATTTTTCCTTTGAAAATATAGCTATTTTTTCTTAAAAATGTGTTATTTCTATTAACTTACAATAGAGTTGATAGCTATTTTAAGTGAATTATTAGAGACATATTTCTAAATTTCTCAGTTTTAATTTCTAATGTGTTAAATATCTATAATAATAAAAGCATAATTGTTAATTAGACTGGACAGCTGAATGACCTTCTGCATGTCATTCCAGACGTCATTCCTGATGTCCTTCTGGATGAAGCTGCAGCAGCTGGGGCCGAGGCAGAGGCAGTTAGGGGGGATCAGGCAGGCAGGCAGAGTGGTTAGGGGCTGGCAAGTGAGTGGTTAGGGGCCATCATGGAGGCAGGCAGGTGAGTGGTTAGGGGCAATCAGGCAGGCAGGTGAGTGGTTAGGGGCAATCAGGCAGGCAGGTGAGTGATTAGGGGCGATCAGGCAGGCAAGTGGTTAGGAGTGATTAGGCAAGCAGGCAGGCGAGCAATTAGGAGCCAGTGGTCCCAGATTGCAAGAGTGATGTCCAACTGCCGGTTTAGGCACAATCCCGCTGTGGGATTGGGCCTAAATGGGCAGTTGGACATCCCCCAAGAGGTCCCGGATTGTGAGAGGGTGCAGGCCGGGCTGAAGGTTCCCTGCCTCACCCATTGCATAAATTTTGTGCACCGGGCCTCTAGTCAGTAGATATACCCATAAGACAAAAGGTCTTTGAGATTTTATGTTTAAAAAATATAAAGGATACCTGGGACCAAACATTTTTAAAGAATTACAGACCTAGATAAAGTTATTTAGTCTCTGTAAACCTTAGTTCTTTAATTTACATGATGAAGATTAAGACTATATATATCCTCAGGTTATTTAAAAACCCTGACCTCAATTTAATATCTAATTGCCAGGATAGGGCTTTTTACCTGTTTGTTCACTGTTGAATACCAAGCATGTAGAATTTTTCTAACAAAATGAGGTTTTTAATAAATATGTATTAAATGAGTTAATAAATAAATCACAAGTAGACATATTTATTGATTGGCCACTTAATTATAATTAACCAAATAGTATTACATGCATATTTATAAAACATATTTATAAAGTTTTAATACATAAGAAGTAATTACCACAATGCCTAGTGCATAGTAAACACTAACTAAATATAAGCCAAATGAAAGTGTAAGATAGGAACTATTGGTGGGAAAATTAGTCTGTCTCATTAATTATAGATGTAACTAGAGGCCTGGTACACGACATTTGTGCACTTGGGGGGTGGTGTTGCTTAGCCCAGCCTGCACCCTCTCACAGTCTGGGGTTCCTCGGGGGATGTCTGTCTGCCAGCTTAGGCCTGCTCTCTGGGGACACCCCCAGAGGGGTCCTTAGCGCTGCCATGAAGGCGAGAGAGGCTCCTGACACCACCACTGTTCTCTCCAGGGGTGAGTCCAGCTTCTGGCTGAGTGGCACTCCCCCTGTGGGAGCGCACTGACCACCAGAGGGCAGCTCCTGCATTGAATGTCTGTCCCCTGGTGGTCAGTGCACCTCATAGCAACCAGCAGTTCTGCCATTTGGTCGATTTGCATATTAGCATTTTATTATATAGGATGAGAGGCCTGATGCACGAAATTCGTGCAAGGGGCTTAGTCCTCCCAGCTGCGGCAGCTGCCTCAGCCCTGGCAGCCCTAGCTTCGTCCAGAAGGTTGTCTGGAAGGTTGTCCAGATGGTTGTTTGGCTGTCCAGTCTAATTAGCATATTACACTTTTATTATTATAGATGCGAGTTAGGGAATAGAATCAGAGCTGAGACACTAGGAATTTCTAATTAGAATGAAAGGAATGATGATAGCTATTAAATCTTGTCATTTGTAATTAAGAAATTGGACTAGAAGTTTATGAATCTCTGAATCACAGGATGCTTTCCTTTTCTCCCAGTTGTTTAAAGGGATATGTCAACAATAGCCTATCCTTCTTTGACCTGAGTGAGCTTGGCCTGGGAAAATCTGGTTATTGCAGGTACTGCCTTATAAATCGTAGTTACTTTTCTTCTTGCTTTCACTATTCCATCTCTTCCCTCTACATGTTGATGAGCTCATTTAAACTGTCATTTTGGAGTTTTGGCAAACCAAGAACATTTGGGACTGCCACACTTTGATCTCTGTTCTTCAAAGTGTTTTTTTTTTTTTTGTGGATTTTAGGTACCGAGACTACAGAGGTCCCCCTTGGAGTTCCAAACCTTATGAGTTCACCTTACAGTACTGGCACATCCTCGCTGCTCGGTTGGCCTTCATTATCGTGTTTGAGGTTAGTCACAAACTGGTGAAATAACTATAGGTAGACACTTTTCCAACTGATATATTAGTTGCCTCTTTGAAGTAAGTTCCTCACTGACTTCCGAAAAGGGAGTTGAGTATGTTTTAGTGAAAGGCTCAGATAAAATGAAACCTCAGTTCCTGGCTTGATCCCCAGTTCCTATCAAAGCATGTGCAGGAGGCAACCAATCAATGTGTCTCTCCCTTTCCCTTCACTCTCTCTAAAATTCAATGGAAAAATATCCTTGGATGAAGATTAACAAAAACAAAGTAAATGGATTAAGTAACATTAAAGAGATTATAGGAAAAATATATTCCAAGTTTTGTTAGTTGTATAATGGTTATGTTTAAATTATTAACACCTAAGAAATTGGGTGAAGGGTACATATAATATGCTGTAGTATTTTATAGTTTTTTTTACATGTATGAGATTATTTCAAATTAAAATATTAAAAAATTAAAAATTAATAAAATATTAATTGAAATGTGTATGCATTACACGAAAAATCTCCTAATTGCTTCTAGCATAATTTATTAAATTGTGCTAAAATTTACAAGGGTTCAATTAAAAGATATCTTAATTCTAAATGATATAGTAGAAAATATGTAATAGTGCAGTTATAAGCACTTATCTGAAAATAAAAATTTAAAGAAGTGAATTTAAAGAAGGGATTAGCCAAAGAAAATATATGCACAACCCATGGACACAGACAACAGTATGGTGATGGCCAGAGAGAAGTGGGGGCAAGATCTGGGTAGAAGGGCAAAAGGGGGCAAATAGGGACATCCTATATAATAATAATAAAAGGCTAATATGCACATTGACTGAATGGCAGAATGACCGGTTGCTATGATGCGCACTGGCCACCGGGGGGAAGACACTCAATGCAGGAGCTTCCCCCTGGTGGTCAGTGCACTTCCATATGGGGGAGTGCCACTCAGCCAGAAGCTGGCTTATGGCTGGCCTACGCAGTGGTGGTGGCAGGAGCCTCTCCCACCTCCGTGGCAGCACTAAGAATGTCCAACTAATGGTTTAGACCAGCCGTGGGCAAACTACGGCCCGCGGGCCAGATCCGGCCCATTTGAAATGAATAAAACTAAAAAAAAAAAGACCGTACTCTTTTATGTAATGATGTTTACTTTGAATTTATATTAGTTCACACAAACACTCCACCCATGCTTTTGTTCCGGCCCTCCGGTCCAGTTTAAGAACCCATTGTGGCCCCTCGAGTCAAAAAGTTTGCCCACCCCTGGTTTAGACCCAATCCCTTGGGGGCCTAAGCCTTTAGTTGGACATCCTCCGAGGGCTCCCTGGCTGCCAGAAGGATGTCTGACTGCAAGCTTAGGCCTGATTCCCCAGGGAGTGGGCCTAAGTCTACAGGTGGACATCCCCCAAGGGGTCCTGGACTGTGAATGGGCACAGGCCAGGCTGAGGGACCCCCCCGAGTGCACAAATTTTTGTGCACTGGGCCTCTAGTCCTATATAGTAAAAGGCTAATATGCAAATTGACTGAACAGCAGAACAACCGGTCACTACGACGCGCGCTGACCACAAGGGGGCAGACGCTCAACGCAGGAGCTGCCCCCTGGTGGTCAGTGCATTCCCACAGGGAGAGCGCCGCTCAACCAGAAGCCAGGCTTACGGCTGGCAAGCACAGCGGCAGTGGTGGGAGCCTCTCCTGCCTCTGTGGCAGCACTAAGGACGTCCAACTGCCGGCTTAGGCCCCCTTCCCGCAGGGAGCAGGCCTAAGCCATCAGTTAGACATCCCCCAAGGGCTCCCAGACTGCGAGAGGGCACAGGCCAGGCTGAGGGATTCCCCCAAGTGCATGTATTTTGTGCACCAGACCTCTAGTCTATATGATAAAAGGCCTGTGACCATAACACTGTAATGACCAAAAACAAGACTCACCAGGAGGTGCATTGATGGGTCCTGCAGTGGCCACGGCGGGCAGGACTCTGGGGTCCCGCGGGGGCAGTGGAAGGGAGTCCGGGGTCCCATGGTGGCAGCGGGAGGGAGTCCGGAGTCCCATGGCGGCGACAGGAAGGAGTCTGGAGTGCCGCGGTGGCAGCGGGAGGGAGCTCTGGGTCCCGCAGCAGCAGCGGGAGGGAGTCCAGGGTCTCGCAGTGGCGATGGGAGGGAGTCTGGGGTCCCGCAGTGCAAGGGGTCTGGGTCTTGCATGATTTTGTGCACTGGGCCTCTAGTATGTTATATTTAAGTAATGCTTATACTCACTTAATCCTTATGCAAACCTTTAAGAGATGCTGTTATTATCACTGCTTTAGAAGTGATACACAGAGAATAGGTGATTTTCAGAAAGTTGCACAGCTGTGTCAGAGTAGGGTTCAGACATAGGCAGTCTTATTCAGCATCTGTACTTTTTTTTTACAGGGTTCTTGACTTGAACCCCAAATCAAATTTTTCTTTTTTTAAAAAATATATATTTACTAGAGGCCCGGTGCATGAAATTAGTGCATGGGGGGGAGGGGAGGCGAGTGTCCTTCAACACAGCCTGCACCCTCTCCAATCTGGGACCCCTTGGGGGATATCCAACTGCCCGTTTAGGGATTGGGCCTAAACCGGCAGTTGGATATCCCTCTCACAATACAAACTGCTGTCTCCTAACCACTCGCCAGCCTACCAGCCTGATCGCCCCCCTAACCACTCCACTGCCAGCTTGATTGATGCCTAACTGCTCCCTTGCCAGCCTGATGGCCCCCAACTGCCCTCCACTGCCTGTTCGATCACCCCCAACTACCCTCTCCTAAAGGCCTGGTCCCCCCAAACTGTCCTCCTCTGTAGGCCATCTTGTGGCAGCCATCTTGTGATGGCCATCTTGTGACGATGTTGCGGGAGGGCGTGACGCCACCTAGGCTTTTATTATATAGGATTGATTTCAGAGAGAGGAAGGGAGAGGGTGCCTTCTACATAATTCCTGTTGGGGATCGAGCCCACAACCTGGCATGTGTCCTTGACCAGAATCAAACCTGGGACCCTTCAGTCCATAGGCTGATGTTCTACCCACTGAGCCAAACCAGCTGGTGTAGCATCTGTACTTTTTTTTTTTAATATATTTTATTGATTTTTTACAGAGAGGAAGGGAGAGGGATAGAGAGTTAGAAACATCGATGAGAGAGAAACATCGATCAGCTGCCTCCTGCACATCTCCCACTGGGGATGTGCCCGCAACCAAGGTACATGCCCTTGACCGGAATCGAACCTGGGACCCTTCAGTCAGCAGGCCGATGCTCTATCCACTGAGCCAAACCGGTTTCGGCAGCATCTGTACTTTTAACCACAGCATATTACCTTTTGATTTTTGCTCCTGACTTTTATATATAATACTTTGTCAATTTACATTTTAAAATATCTTTATCATAGAATGATTGTGCAATGGACATAAAAATTTTAAAGCTGTTATAATGATATAGAACTTAGTAGAGTAAAAGCTCTGAAAAATGCACATGCTAGAGTTTGAGTCTAATCCTAGCATCACAGGCAGACTGTATTCTTTCAGTGTGTAGGCTGTGGATTATCATCCATGGGACATGGTTTTTCCCTGGATGTGATCTTTCTCATCTGTGTATGACAATGCATGTCATAATAGCATTGCATGGTGTATAAAAATTTTATATAAACGAATTTAAGATTCATTCAATGTTTAAAAGGTGATATGAACATGTGGCAGTGAAAAGATAAAATAATTTGGTTTCCTTCTAATACCTATGGGATATAAGGCAACAGTAGTATTCCCAAAGTAATTTTTAAAATATTAATATTCTAGATGATACATACTGAGTTTTGATGCTTGATTGTAAGGCAAATGCAACATTGCTCATGATTTTTCTGATTTATAGTTGGCATTTCAGAATCTTTGAAAAGTGTACTTTTCCTTCTTAAATTTACAGCACCTTGTGTTTGGAATCAAGTCATTCATTGCATACCTGATTCCAGATGTACCGAAGAACCTTTATGACCGAATACGACGGGAAAAGTACTTAGTCCAAGAAATGATGTATGAAGCTGAGCTAGAGCATTTGCAACAACAGCGAAGAAAAAGTGGTCACCCTGTTCACCATGAATGGCCTTAGTAGATACCTATTGCCAAATGGGGGCAATGCCATCAGTGGGAATGATAGCAACTTCCAAGTCTAGGTGGGAGCTAGGAGGAAAGCATTCCTGCCAAAACATGTGTCTAATAAGATACTTGGAAATGCATCACAGCCATCTCTTGGATTTAGAATATCCAAACATCCAGGGAAAAGAAAAAGGTGACTCGGGACATTAAAATGATTAGGTTGGCACTGTAGGAAGCCAGGATCTAATTCTCAGAAGAAGCCTCAGGGAATTGTGTGTTTGGAGACCTCCACCTTCCACCAGCTATAGCGTAATCCAAAAGGGCGATGGTGAGGTTTCCAGAGACAGATTTCCATGTAAATGCTCACAAGCCAGGCATGTGTGGTTTTTGCTCACATGCTAATCTGACATTGGAACCTTAGCTTGAGTTGAGATACTCATAAGAAATGACTACAGTTGTTGCCTTTGTTGCCAGAAATCCAGGTCCCTTCAGTTTACACGTTCATAAGAATGTCCCTTGTTTCTTGCTGAGATTATGGATCTGTGCCACAGGAAATTTATGCTGCTCTACATTGACTATGCAGTTGAGGAGTTGCACATCAGCTTTAGTTGTCGAACCAAAAATCTGAGATTCTAAAAAGAATACTATTCATTAGAATAACATTCTATTCAAATCTGTTGTATCACTGGCATAACCAATTGCACTAGATTTCTTTTTTACAGAAGAGCCACATACTTATAAAATATGGATGTTTATTCTCATATCATTTATAATAATACTAATTCATATTTAACCATGGAAGGTTATTTTATTGTATATTTAATTTTTCCCTTTCTGATTTATTACATCAACTCTCACAGAATAATTTGAAATGCTGTAAATATTTTGGTTTCCCTTGTATCTTTGCACCTTGACAATATGTAATGCGAGTTAGTTTATGCAGCTCTGAGACCAGTTACATCGTACACCATTGTGACTTGTTATTCAGGAAAACTAAAGCCAGATGCTTTGCAACTCTTATGCTTTTCCACCAATGTTCACTCTTGCTCATGAGCTAATGAAAACAGTGCATGAATATAAATGTATATTATTTGTAAAACTGGCACACATATTTTTGAGTTTTACTCTCTTTTCATTACTGAAGGGAGTTTTCGGATAATATTTCTTTGATAGATTGATTTGGTTTATTTTTGAAAACTCTAGAAAAAAAGGTAAATTAATTGTGAAAAATTTGCTTTGTTGTGGAGTTGCTCTTTCAATGTCAACTCTGTATCAGTCAGTGTGACTGCTCACAGATGGATGAGGTTGGAAGGATGGGACATTGAACTAAAGAATGTCTGGTGAAGGTATAAGCTATGGGGGCAGGAAGAGAAGAAAGAAGAGTTGAATTAAGGAAATGTATGGTAGAATTCAAGATACTTTTTCTTGCAAATCAGTCAAAACTAATCTCAGTTTTACTTCCCTGGGAATGAGGTGAGAAATAATACATACACATTTATACATACATGTGGTTATTATTATTATTATTTGTCCAATTAAACAAAGCACAGTATTTTTCAAAATTTATTAAGGCCAAATTAAACACAATGGAAATAAAGCTATGTTGTATATATGCTAGGTTTTCTCTAGTAAGAAAATTTTAAAGTTTTTCTTACTAGGAAACTATTTTTATAATTCTGACACTGAAAAAAATGACTTTTCCTTCTTTCCTAGGAAAAAGCTGATAGATAATATTGGTTGGTTGGTTTTTGACAAAAATGTTCACTTCCTTACTTGTCTTCTGATTTGGAGCAAGAGGAAGTGCCTCAGATTCTAAATGTCCCTACATGCCCTTTGCCACATACAACTCTTCCAGAGTCCACAGATGTTCTGTTTCTGCCATCTGGTTATCATAGCAACTAACTACACAAAGGAGTTTTAAACTCCTCCATTGCCATAGGATCTGCATTTGCTCTTTTTTCTTAATTAAATGTATACACATACCTGAGAATAAATACTTTCTATGCCCGTTAAAGACATAAATGTCTTTTCCAAATTAGGGACACATGACAAAGACATTTATCTTATGGTAGAAAAAAGAATATCGATAGCCATGCCATTAAGAATTCTTCTCTTTCTGGATTATTTTTATATAAACACCATAAAAGTTTAA